ATACTACACCACACTATAAACGTCTCCTCCGCGCCTATAAGAACGCGCCTACGCGTAGCGATAAAAAGCCAACCAATTACCGGCTAAATGACGCCCAAGATCTTGCTCTTAAGCGCTACATTAACGCAGCCAATGCTAGTATCGGCTTCAGTATACATCACCGCATAATCGCGCAACAAGCCTACGCGTCACTTCAAGAGTCGTACATAGGACCACACAAATCACCAACGCCACTAGGTTATAACTAGGCGCGTTAGGAGTAAGCCGATGGAAGTACAGCGTATGCTGGCGCAACAGCCTAACGCGTTACGCCATTGGTTCGAGCAGCTTCAAGCTACTATAGAGCAACTTGGCGTACAACCTAACGACATGTATAATATAGATGAGACTAGTTGTCGGATTAGCGTTGCAAGCAGCCAGTATATATACAGTGCTGGCGGCTGGCAAGTCTTTATTGCCAACGCCAATAATCGCGAGCTTATTACCCTTATTAAATGCGTCTGTTCCACTAGCTTTACAATTAAGCTAATAGTTATTATTAAGGCGGCAACGATTATAGAGCAGTAGGTAGTTAATCTACCTAATAACTACCTTATTACAATCTTAGAGAGTAGCTATAGCAACGATCAGCTTACGCTCGCCTAGTTAAAGCACTTTAATCACCGAATAAAGCAGCGGTCTACTAGCGCGTAGCGATTACTATTAGTAGACAGATACAGCTCATACTTAACTAGAGAGTTTATTTAATACGCTGAGCAGCAGTATATACAGCTCTTTGCGCTGCCACCGCACACTACGCACCTTCTCCAACCGCTTAACGTTGGCTGCTTTCAACCACTTAAGTAGTACCACGGCCGCTACTTAGAGTAGGCGTCTCGCACTAACTTAAAAGATATTAACAAAGCAGACTTTCTAGCGACTCTTACCGAGATCCGGCGTCTTACCTTTACGCGCACCACTATACAGAGCGGCTAGTAGCAAACTAGTCTTGTTCTATAGAAACCAGAGCTTGTACTTAACTAGTTGTAGCTACTCTACACGGACAGCGAGTACGAGCGCGCTATACCACCACCAGTTCAGTTGCGACAGACGACAGCGTGCATACAAAGCTCTTCGCCGTCTTTAGGCTCATCTCCATCATACCTACTACCACTACAGGGCTTCACACAAATTCGGATAGCGCTACAGGGTAAGCAACTAAGCGTGCGATAGGGTTAGGGTAGGGTAGGATTAGGGTTTAGCAATACGTGTCTCGACATCTATGCAAAATGATTGTGCAGTACTAGTGGAAGGGACTTACATTTGCTATAAAAAGGTACGGTTCATACCTAATCCATAGCAATGCCTTGCAAGCAGCGCAAAACATATTGTTCCTGGTCAAAAACGCCCCAAGTATCTCATCACAACACAATCAAAGACAGGAGTAATTTCCATATGTAAATTACTTTGTACCGGCAATTATACAACCACTCCCCCTCTCTAGTGCAAAAATTCATTGAAAAAGTTAACCGCACTCCTCTTCGCCCGCTCCAATCCCGCCTTCTGCGCAGCATCATTGGGGTTACCTCGCACCGCAAAGCCATGGGTCAAGCCCGGGAAATAAATGTACTCCCACTGGACACCAGTCTTGGGCAGGATATCAAACGTAGCCTGCTTCAACTCGTCCGTGTACGCGAAGTCGTTTTCGGGACTAAGAACCTGCACGGGAACCTTTACACCCTCAATCTCCGACTTCTCGAGCAGTGACGGGTGCGCGGTGGAGATGGCGTCGATGAGCGAGGGGTCGGCAGCAAGCTTGAAGGCAGCCCAGCCGCCGTAGCAGAAGCCAATGGCCGCGACCTTTTTGTACTGCGATTTGAGGGTTTGCGCGTGCTCTTTGATCTCGGGCCAGCGGGCCTGCTTGCTGTGGCGACCTAGGAAGGCCCCGATGTCGAAGTTCTTTTGCTTTTCTGGGTCCGACAGCGCGTCAGGGTCTACGACTTCGCCGTGAAAACTGTCGCAAAACCATGTGGTTAGATTTGGTGGTGACGCACACATGTGTGGGTTGCGATGGGGTTCTTACAGGTCGGGTACGTAGACGGTCGCATTGGCTTCTTGCGCGTAGTGGTCCGCGACTAAGCGGACGTTCGGAAGCGTCCAGCCGAAAACGTCAGTTATGATAAGAATAGCGGCGTCTTTGTTGTCGCCAGTGACGTAGGCATTGACATTGTTGAGCTTAGTTTCCTTGCCAACGGTTTGGCCGTTCCACTTGAAGCCGCGCTTGCAGTTGTCGCAAGACATTTTGATTCTTAGATTGAGGTGTTTTTAAAAGGATTAAACGAGCTGATGTCGTGATTGAGGAGTCTTGAGGGATGGTAGTGGGGTACCCAGTTCTTAAATCTTCCAGGCATTGAGTGGGGTAATCTGCCCTGCCCGTCCCCATAGAGCATGGGCAAGAATACAAACCTGAATCTGGCCGTCTCGCCGTACTGAGAGCCAATCATCAGGCTTGAGAGATACATTGCGTAGATTCGCCTTCCGGCAATGCTATGTGCCCGGTGGACAAAACTCCCGGGACTCCACGCAGGCCGCCACCCTACCAAAACCGATAACCCAGAAGAGAATGAGCAACTTCAGGGCTTCATAACACTGCTGCAGTGCAACAAGAATAGTTATTCTCTACCCGTATCGCCTTTTCCTATCTTAAATCATTACTCTTCATTATACAAGACCTAAAGAAACGGATGGGTAAATGACGCTACGGATTGTATGAAGTACTTACAAACCATTTTGGAATCCCGGGAACTTTCCGCACTTGGTGCCCTTGGGACAATGATGACGATGTTCTGTAGCGGAATTAATCGCCGCCTGTTTTTAAATCCGAAAGGGTCCCGATCGCCGAGATTTGCCGAGGTGCTCGTTTTGGGCAGACGCCAATTCTTCTATCATCGACGTCTTTCCTTTTTCCATTCAGTAGGCCCATTTTGTCAAGCATATCCATGCTCAGTGATTGCAGTTTTCCGAAAATTAGTTGCAACTCATCCTCTGCTATAGTTTAGCGAACACGGATACTGATTGGATAAACAGACACTCCCAATTCCTGGACCCTCTTTGACACTAAACAATGCCTTGGTGGCATATGTCTATGAGAATGTAATGCTTTTTGATCTTTATTCTCTTGAATATATCCATCATTCGATACCGAAACTTATTGTGTTAGCTGTCTTTCCCAAGATTCGCTCACCCAGTGACCCCGCTTTCTACAAATCATCTTTGCATCTCTTGCGGTAGTACCAAGATCTACCAATTGTTGTACGTAGAGAAGTCCAAACGTTTCTTCCCTTCGAACTAGGGAAAGGCTACGCGAGTAGCTTCGGAAGTCTAGACTACTCGCTTAGTAAGGGTTCCGCTACTACGACCCAGAATGTTTCGGGACGTTCTCGCCTTGGCTGCACAAAAACATCCGGCATTCGTTACCAGACATCTGGGTCTCTTACAAATTTCTAGTGATGTGAAATTGGCATGCCAATTGCCATAGCACATAAGAAGTAAACAAGGCCAGTGATTCCTGGCAAAAGTGAAATATTCACGTGCTTCTTTTGTGGGGCGAGATATGGGCTTTTAAGACCCCGCCATTTCAGCAGAAGTAGTCAAGATCAAACGACTGAGCCGCTGCACTGGGTATCTTCCGGTGAGATACAGACAAGCTGACTATGCCGCTGGTTACAGAGTCGCACGTCCATAGGTGAACCACGAGGTTTCTTCGATCCGATAGCCGAATCTAGACTTTGGATTATGTCATATGTTGTCGGGGTCCAGGGACGAAAGTTTGTCCCAACTGCCCCTTCATGTGCCGGTCAGAGTTACATCGAATGCGAAGCAAAACGCCAAGACCAATTTCACAACGTATACGGTGTTTATAGGTATTATTTCAGCTGCCAAGAATCATCCCCGTCGGGGATGTGCGGCTCTGCCTGGAAACAATTGTTTTACGGAGATGTGTGGGGGTGGGGTGCCAACCAAGCTGACAGCCATATGCGACAACGCAGTCCCTGGTTGCCGAACCGAGGAATCGCTTGCGCACACATAATACTACTTTAACTTCAGCCTAAAAAATGCACATCGATTTAACTCACTCACCGGTATTCAGTCCATGCTGTGCTGCTGAGAATCAGGCCATTATACGCTTGCCATGGCATCATTGGCGCAACCTTGATTTACCGTGATGAAGACGTTCGGTTTGTCACCATGAGGTCCTGATTAGTCACAACTTCGCTAACTGTCTTCCGGTATCTGACACCCATTTCTGTATGCCTGGGCAGCTGTACCATGTTTTTGGGAAGAACTCCGGACCAAGGGTCTTCTTTTGAACTTTTCCCGTGACAGTCTTTGGCAACTCACCGTTTGCAATTCGCAAGAGTGTCGGCAGCTTGTACCCGGCAAGTCTTCCACGGAGATCCCGCCGTAGTTTATGAATAGTTAGTGTGTCGCTTGAGTTGAGCCGCTTGTCTGGAAAATCTGTTGCTACATCTTCCTCTTGTAACGAGAGTAGGGCTGCCACACGTTGCCCGAACTCATCATCTGCAACGCCGACAACCATGGCTTCGGCGACGTATGGCAAGCCCAACAACTCTCTTTCAACATCAAGAGCTGATATTTTGTACCCTCCCGACTTGATGATGTCCAGGGACGCTCGACCGAGGATGAAATAATACTTCCCTTCCCTTCGTGCAAGATCACCGGTTCGGAAGTACCCATCTTCATCATGGGCGGTGTTTGTGCCTTCCGGATCATTTAGATATTTCATAAACATATGCTGTGTTTGATGAGAGCCATGTTCCAGCAAATTCCAAGTGACATACCGGGCTCTTGACGAGTATCTCTCCTTCATTTCCCTCGGACAGCTTCACATCTACACCGCTTACAAGTTCACCGACAGAACCTTTGGGCGTGTCTTTATCTCCAAGGCGCATCTTCAAGATAGCACCAAATTCAGTTGCCCCATATCTTTGCAGGATGTTCTGCTGCAAGAGGTCTGACCAAAAGTCGTTCAGCGGCTGAGGTAACGCCGACGTTCCACATAAACAGGCGCGGAATTGCCGTGCGCCAGCAACATATGGAGCTAGTTCATGTGCAGGTAGCTTACGCAGGTGAGTTTGATAGAATCGTCTAAGCCGCATCCAGATGGTTGGAACGGCCGAAAAGAACGTAAGTCGCCTTGGGGGGTGGGCTGCCCCCTCCTTCCAACGCTTCCACGTCCAGGCCTCATCGAAGCCTCCGCTACGGAACTCGATACGACTTCCAGATACGAGAAACGGAAAAAAGTTAATGCCGACCCCTGTGGCATGATGTACTGGAAGGAGGTGGAGTATGACGTCGTCCTCAGTCAAGCGATAGTGGTCAGCGATGGATAGCGCACAATCAAAGACATACGATCTCCGCATCACTGCACCCTTGGGTGGTCCCGTGGTGCCACTTGTGAAGATTACCACAGCTGGAGCGTTCTCCTCCAAGGCCCGATCCGATGAAATGATTACCTCCTCGGCGCTAAGAGTGGGGGATGAGACGAACGGTCCTATTTCGACAACCCGAAACTGTGAGTTGCTCGTAAAACAGATGCGCCGTCCCAGAAGACGGCATTTGTCTATGTTCTCCGAACTCGCAAGAACAAGCACTGATCTTGACTTTTGGATAAAGTATGCCGCCTCACTTACAGGCACGGCGGGCGTCATTGGCACTGCGGCCGCCCCAAGCGCTAGTACCGCCAGCATTGCCACGGTGTATTCGTAACCGCCTGGCGCAACGATGGCCATGTACACGTCTTCTCTCTTCTCTAGCGCTTTGCGGGTTGCGTCATCGATTGTATTGAGAAGGGTGTTTCGCAAGGCCAAGACATCTGACAGCAGATGAATATGGGTCTTGTGCAACCCGGCATGAACATCTTCGATGGCTATGCGTGCAGGAGTTTGGTTGGCAAACCGAACAAGTCGACTGAACAGAGGCTGTGCAGACGTCAGTAAGCAGTTGCAGTCGGCCTGGATAGATGGGTAGAGCGTGGTGAGTTCGTACAGTGTTCGGAAGCACGTTGTGGCCAACATGTCTAGGCACGACACTAGTTCGGTCTGCCATGGTAGCTTTGTTAGTGAGTGCCACTGCCGTTGCCGTCTTACTCAGACCAAGACTCGACAAGTAGCTCGAATGCGCTTCCCGACGTGCGTCGCCGGCACGTGTGTCCAGGATAGTAGGGCAGGGCTGCTGTGTCGAGCGCTAGCCAAGAGACGTGGGGAAGTCGAGTCGCTTGTACTTGTGGGGAGTCATGGCATTTGGGTGCAGGGTGTCTTACTAGTCGATCGTGGCACAAGATCGCGGGGAAGACTCTCCCGTGGCCATCCCCGCAGCCAGTCGCTTCGGGCGCTAGCAGCCCGGCAAGGGCGCTCAGTACCCGTAACTAGTGCATGTCAAACGTCTTCTAGGCGACACTGCCTTTGACTCGCACAACGACGAGTCTGGTCATGCCCATGCCCATGCCCTTTTGGAACCCCTCATCTTGACTGGGCCCCTGCCGAGCCATCCTTACGCAAAACAGACTCCGAGACCACTGCCAGGACGGCGACCACACTACCCCTCGAATGTCCACTTCCCAACAAACTAGCCCGTCATGATATCACGATACAGAATGCCCTTCCTGCTAGGTCACGCATCCTAGGACCCAGCATGTATACTACATATATACGGACGAGTATGTAGTAATCGAGTGGCGGTGCTTGCGACTTCCTTTGATGCCCGAAGCTGACACTTCAAAAGGCAGCAAGCAGTCCATGGCCCTCTGCCTCTTACACATGATTGGGGGGGCGGGCCCAATGATAATGAAAAACTTTCCAACAAAGACGCGTCCCGGCACAGCCGTATAGCATCTTGTCATGAGCTTCCGGTCAACAAAAAGTCTATCGTGCGTGCCCCACGCTTCAGTGTCTCAGCTGTGTCCACAGTCATTGAATCTACAGGTCGCGCGGATTGCCTTGTTGAATCAATCTCCGGGCTTATTTTTCCCTGTTTTTCCATACCGTCGTTTGGCTGTGTGACGGACTGTGGTGCCACCGCTCGCACCCGCCAACCGAACGGATCACCAGGCGTATTCGGTTACTTTGGCGACGTTACGTATGTGCTTGGACTCGCAGCCGCCTATAATTCAGCCGATTGCTCAGTTATTTTGGTGGTTCGTTCGCGCATCGTGCATAAGACGTTTCGCTTACCTACAGGTTGCTGTCGTGGCACGAGGCGTGGGTCAGTCATGGTCGTCTTGTCAGCCACAATGACTATAGCCACACCTACTTTTCGCCTTGTTGATAATGTCGCCTTTTAGACCAGGGGGGTTTCTTGGATTGTTTGGTACCTGTACCAGCAAAAAAATGTTTGCTGGCATCACATGCTGGTCTTTGACCCACATTGGGACGGACCACGCGCAACGTGTCTCCCCCAAAGACTTACCGATCAGATGACGTATTGTTGTTGCTGAGCCTGTGGAATATTTTTGCAATGATAGCTCACACCGCTTTGCAAAAGATGCTATTTGGAGGATCGTGATGGGGGGTCCTATGACACAGGGCAGGGCGCCAATACGTTGCACCTTGTGTCACCAGGGGTGCGTGAGTGGTGCGCGCGCACGACCACCCGTACGCCTAGCAGGGTGGGCTCCAGATTTCCGTTGCTTGGGGCGTACACCGACCTAAAAAGAGGGACGTATTACGGCGCTTTAGACTGTCATAGTACCGAAGATCGAGCATTTTGCCCTGGGCGGCAGCATGCCGTTTGCCTTGGCCGCACACATCGTAGTAGCTGCTTAGAGCGCAAAGCAAGCCAGGCCGCTATCTCAATTCAATGCGCCACGCAGGACCAAAAAAGACGGTGCCGCGACAGCAGGATTGGGCGACGCTGGGATGGCGGCTGCTCTGCAAGCGACAAAGACGAGGCAAAGAAAAAAGGGTAGGACCCATGCGCGGCCTGCCCTGGGGCTTCGCTGGCCGGGATGCGAGTGCGAGCGAGGGCGTCAGCAAGGAACGATGATCATATTTTTTTTCGAACTGCATCCATGCCAGGCCCTGCACCTGGACCTGAACGATGAAGCTGAAGGAAGAAAAAGCAATATGGCTGAACACCCCCCCCCCCTCATTGGCATTGTCCTCTCGGGCGGCGGGCGTACTCAGCGGGCTTGGCCCCTCTGCGAACGCCCGGGCGGCGGCTGCATGTCATCCGGGTCCGCGATGTTTGGTGGTTTGGTGGTTTGGCGGTGCCTTGGGCGCAGTCTTGCAAAAGCGGCCGGGGAAGGCGGCGCGAGACACGTTTGGCGCGGTCGAGGGTGTGGAAGCGAGTCGTCGATAGGGCAGGCCGGCGGGGAAGCGGGCAGTGGGCATGGCGTAGCCGCACAGATGTTTCCGCATGCGGCCATAGCTCACTCGGTCCGTGGGAGCGTGGACCGATGCCGCCCCCCGTCACATCAGGCGCAGCTCCATGGGGCCTTGCGGTGAAGGGGTAAAATTGGCCTCGCGTGCTTCAAATGTCGTGTGTTTGTTCACCTACTCCAGAGCGTCTATGACTCTTCTGCGTCTCTGGTATATATAACTAATTTCGGGAAACGCCTCAGCCATGTCCCTAGACCTACCACTATTGATCAGCAGGAGCAGGTTGCTGGGCTCTGTCGCGAGCTCTGCCCCCCGCCTACTTAATATGATTACCAAGCCGGACAATCTGGCCCGTCGAACAAAGGCATTCCATCTCTCATGTCTGGATCAGAACATTGTGCGCGTGTATATACAAACGCTGTGTATATTTCCCGTATGTTGGCCCAGAACAAGGTGGACGAACGAGACACGACCGTCGTCATCCTCGCAGTAGTAGTAGGTGCTGATTGTAACGCCAGTTTCCCGACCAGAACAATGCCGAAGCTGCCATACATGCGCTTGGGAATGGTATTCGCCTCTCGCTCAAAAAGTTTCCTTTCCTTGCTGGTCTCCTCTCTCTGCCCGACGCTGCCACGGGGAGGCTTGCTCTGGAATATCCAATTGAAGTGTCTGACGAAGAGCTGAATTGCATATTCCGATCAAAGCAAATCCCTTACCATGAGCGTGACTTTCCCTACACATACGAGCAACTCAAGCGAGACGGCATGCCACCAAGTGCTTTCAAAGGTTCCATGTTTGTCCCCGAAGATCTTGCAAACTATCCCGGTATTCCCAAAGACGGCGAAGGCAAGGTCGATTTTGAAAAGAGTGACGCGCCCGCGATGCGATGTCAAGCATTCTTCATTCCTGGCGGATTGGTCCTTTCCACCTACATGCACCACACCGTATCCGACTTTTCCGGCATCAATCTTTTCTGGGAAACCTTTTCGACAAACGTGTCCAATCTGCCGCGCCAACACTTGATAAGTGACAGCAAAATCTTTGGTACTTTTTCCCCCTTGGATCCAAACTCTTTCCCAATCACATCTGACAATTGACAGATACAATCAGCGTTGCTGACAGGCAATCGCGACTACGGCAAGCTGTTGATTGGCACGTTAACCCGCAGCAAACAGGTGGCGCTGCTGCTGCAGCAGACTGCTACTGCGATGGACCACCCACGTATCGCAGGACATTACCCGCCGACACCGCCTGCACTCAACGTCTTTTTGTAATCCCAATCTCCCGCATACGCAGGTACCAGGATATGCTGCGGCCTCACTTCCCACCAGAAAGCACGCCAACAATGTGCAATGTCATCGCTGCGCTGGTGTGGACGCACGTCACGCGAGCCAGGGGAGACCGACTGCTGCAGCACGGCTTGCAAGAGACGAACCTCGGCATTGCCACCGATCTACGCAAACGCCAGAACCCATGCGTCCCCGCGGATTACACGGGTAACATGGCCCTATTTTCAAAAGCCACTCTCAACGTTTCAGATCTGTTGATCGAAGACCGGTGAGTTTGCTCTTCTTCTTCTGCCTCTCTATCCCCCCTGCGATTGGCCTGTTTCACTTCTGCTTTTTTACGTTACACTTTGTGAGCCCAACACCTAAATGCCTCCGCCCCCCCAAAAAAAGTTTGTTCCTCTGTATTCAAGAAAGAAAGAGAGAGAGAAGAAAAAAAGAAAAGACATTTTTTTTCGCTGACTTTGAATGATCCAGCATAACACTCCCCACCCTCATCCGCGTCATTAAAGAAATTCAAACCGCCATCCAAGGCGTCGACGACACGTGGGTGTCACGCCATCTCAAATTCTTTAAGTCGATCGCGCAGATCACCGATACCGAGATTTCACTAGGTTCGGCATTTGGATCGGACATGTACATTTCGAGCTGGTTAAACTTTGGCGCAGACCTCAGCTGGGGCATCCCGGGTACTGATCAAGGTAAGCAGTCACTTGCCGGTCGGCCCGAGTTTATCAGGCGCACGTATGCGCCGAGTGATGGTGGAATCATCTTCTTGCCTAGACGCAGGCAGCTGGTTAATGGTACAGAGGCGCCATTTGAGATTTTGGTACGACTTGCCAAGGAGGACATGACGCGCGTGCTTGACGAAGAGGGAGGGTTGCGCAGCTGGGCGGATGCTGTGCTTGAGTAGACTGGAAGGGGGGGTTCGTATTTGACCACCCCTTTCTTCTACCAGACAAAGAGAAGTTGTGGTTTGCACCTAGTGCAACCGGGCTGTTGATGATGCATTTTTGGGGAATTGCAACTCAAGGAGCATCTGGCGTTGTTTTTCTTTTCAAGAGAATTGGTTTTATTCTCTGGGTCACACGGTTGGGATTGGACATCTGATATCCTGTACAATTAGCTTGTTTTGGGGTTAAGTATCTTGGGGACTTAAAAAGTGCATGTTTGTTTGCTTGCTTTGGCATACCATTTACAACTGTAATCAATTCAATCTTGTTTGCTTTTTTCTCTCTTTGTATCCCCCCAATGATTGAAGTCGTTCAGATCGTCCACTGGTAAGGACGTTCCAGTCGACGCTGCCTGCATTGGGATAGCATGTACGTAGCCCCGCATCGCCGGCTCCACATGCCTAAGAGGCGGGACCCCCACCGTTGTTCGCATCCACGATGAGACCCCCGCCCGACTCTGTTGTCTCGATGGCTGGAAGCGAACCGAGGTA